AGTCTAACATGTTTATTATTTGGCTAACTGGTCACATGACTTTGATTCTTTTTCAAATAAACTCATTTGTCATTGATATAATATTTTTCAAATAAACTTATTCGTCATTGATATAACATTCTTTCATAAACTTTTTCTAAATGAAGATAAAGACAATTAACAACATTTTGTTTTAGTAAATAAAACATAACTATAAACAAATTGGTTTCATTGTAAGAACCAAAGAGTGTTTTTTGAAGATTTCTATCTTTTAGTTTGATACAATCTCGTGCATAGAGTAATGGAATTATTTGCTTTAACATGTTGGAGTACTATGGTAAACATGTTAGTATCTCATGCTCACTACAGTCACTATCTAGTAGAACACAGTTTAGTTTTTTAAGGAGATTTTAAAGGAGGTTCAGAGAACAATTTAGGTTAAAATTGCAGAACATGATCCAGAAGGTCCAATAAATTCTTGGAATATCAAAATTTAATTATTGGAGTTTTTATTTTAGGTGTCTAGTAAATAAAACAGTTAACATAAACTTTCACTGTTGATAATGTCTATGATGAGCATGGCTTGTAATAATAATTATCACATGCAATCATTACATCATCTCATTTGTTTTGCAATACATTATGAAATCATTACATCGTCTCATTTGTTTTGCATCATAATATGCAATCATTACATCATCTCATTTGTTTTGCAACACATTTTTTAAAAAATGCTTAAGTTTTAATTACCAAAAAAATATATTTAAAAAATTCACTTTCAACCTTGACATTTTCAAGGTTGGAATTTTAAAAACATAAGAGAACAAATTCTCTAGGTATATTTTAACCTTTGCAATGTATATATAGATCGATAAATGAGAAGCAACTCAGGATTCTGTGAAATTCTAGAAGTTACTGATAATAAAGAAAAGTGTTGAGAAGAACAACTTTAATACTGCAGTATGATAAACAAAATTGAATAACAACATTAGTAGTGATTTCATCGGACAAAAATAAAAAATGAAGTCAAACAGTATTTCAAGATTCCAAATTTTTCTTTTAAAACTTTGAAAACAGTATGATCCAGATAATATGTGTGGTCCAAATAATGAAGTCAAACAGTATAATGTAAACATTTTCAAAAAAATGTATATAAAACAGAGAGTAACTTATTATTCTTTTTTCAAAATCTCAAAATTTTATTTTGAAACTTTGAAAACAGAATGATCTATAACAATCACTAAATTCAACTCTTGTATGAATTCATCATCAAATTAAATATTTCTCACATTATATCATCAATATAATAAATCAATTTTGTCATCATCATCATCATCTTCATCATCATCATCATCATCATCATCACGTTATCATCATTATCATGTTATCATCATCATCATCATCATCATCATCATCATCATCATCATCATCATCATCATCATCATCATCATCATCATCATCATCATCATTGCCATCATCATCATCATTATATTCTCAATAAATTTTATGAGGCCAGAAATAATATTTTAGTGTTTGGTTTTCATAACTATCTGATATTATTTTTTCTTTATTTTCACGATTTTTATTGCTGTCTATTATTTTCATTGCATTTATACTTTTTTAATGATCTTTGTTAGTTTTAAAACAAGTAGTTTATATTCTAGAGGCTGCTAATGGCTAGAGAGTTTAATGACAAGGCTGCATTTAGTAACCATGGTAATGCTCATGTTTTTCTTTGAGAATTTGAAATAGCTGTACAATATTACTTGTGAGAAAATTTCAAGCATAAATTTTTAATCAGAGGTCAGTATAAAATTGTTTTTTATATTTTAATTGTTTTTACTTGTATTTGTCTTATAATATATACTTTATTTGATCATCTTTATCAAAAGAAAGGCTGTAAACCCTTTTCATTTGCAAACTTTATCATTTTTTTTAGCAAAATTCTTGAAAAGTTAGATTATTACTTTTTACATTGAAAAAATATTATTTATAAATAATTATTTTGTCTTTGTCTAAACAAAAAAGAAGCTTTACAGTTTGCAAATTATAAAAATACTTCATATAAAATAAATTAAAAATATAGGTGTAGATCAATACCAAAAAAAAGATATCTATAGACAATTACCATATAAAAGAAGACCTTAAGTTTTTTTTAATTGCTTTTGTAGTTTAAAAGTATAACAAAAAGATTTAAGTTATTGCAAAAAAGTGAAATTAAAAAGGACTAAAATCAATTAAAAGAAGAGAATGTATACATACAGTAGCGCCCAAAAGTTGAACAGGCAAAAAAATAAGGAATTTTACTTAAATTTCAGCACATATTTCACTAAGCCAACATATTATATACCAATTAAAAGGTTTCCAAGTTAACAATTATGTTTTGAGCAAATAATGAATATTTAATTACCATTTTAAAATTGGTTAACAAAATGGCGATTTTTGATAAGTTCAAAAGTTTGCGGACAAACTAACGCTTTTAACATTTTCACCACAAAATAGCTAATTTGTTGATTTTATAAACAAATACTTTGTAAAAATAATTTCAAAACTTTATATATAAGTGATTGAGATCATGGGATCTAAGAAATGTATTTCATCTCCAGTAATAAAAGTTGATCTTGAGATCAGTTCAGAATGGAAACTCGTTTCGTAAAACAGCACAACTTTATGGAGTTGGTAAGTCTGCTGTTGGACAAATTATGAAGAGATTTGAGCTTACTAGATCTACAAAGAATAAAATCTATCAGGAAGGCCACGCAAAACAACCCGTTATCAGGATAAAAAGCTTGTAATACTAAGTAAAGAAAATCTCCGTTTGACAGCTTTCGATTTAAACGTCCAAATGAGGCGTTTCTTTGGAATGAATTGTAGTATTTCTACTATAAAACGTCGTTTATGTCACGCTAATTTGTTTGGACGCCCAGCTAAAAAACCATTAGTTTCCTTGAAAAAGAAACTAATGGTTGTGACGCCTGAATGGAATTTGCATCAAAACATCTAAAGTGGAGTAGTCAAAAATGGTCAAAAATTCTTTTTAGTGACGAAAGCAAATTTATGCTGTTTGGATCCGATGGAATCAGGTATGTTTAATGTCCAGTAGGTCCTTTTTAGTGATGAAAGCAAATTTATGCTGTTTGGATTCGATGGAATCAGGTATGTTTGATGTCCTCTTAACATCTTCTTGGATTATCGCTTACTACTGACCTTTCATGGAAACCATATATACAATCGATTGCTAAATTAGCTTCTGCTAAGGTTGCTTCTCTTTATCATGCTCGCCATTTCCTTACTTCTGATTTAATTCTCTCCCTCTACAAATCTCTTATTCGTCCCTGTATGGAATACTGTTGTCATATTTGGGCTGGTTCTTCTAGCGATTCACTTTCTCTTCTTGACAAGGTCCAAAAACGCATTGTAAATGTTGTTGGACCTGGACTATCTGCTAAGCTTGAACCTCTTTCCCATCGTCGTAAAGTTGCATCTCTTTCTCTTTTTTACAGATACTATCATGGTCACTGCTCAAAGGAGTTATTATCTCTAGTTCCATCAACTAAAATTCATTCTCGTTTTACTCGTTATTCAGCTAAGTCTCATTCGTTTACTGTATCTGTCCCTGCATGTTCTAAAAACTTTTATTCATCTAGTTTTTTTCCCCGCACTTCAATCCTTTGGAACTCTCTCCCATCTTCATGTTTTCCTGACTCATACAACCTTCAACTTTTCAAGTCTTCTGTCAACCTTTTCCTTGCTCTATAACTCTGTTCTTTTTTTTCCTAGTAACTCCCAACTTGATAGTGGTTGCTTGCAGCCTTGTTGGGAGTGAATGCAAATAAAAAAAAAAAAAAAAAAAAGGTACTAGGTACAATCCTAAATACCAACTGCCTACCCTAAAACATGGAGGAGGTAATGTAATGGTTTGGGGATGTTTTAGCCGAAATGGAGTTGGTCCTCTCCATAGAATTACCGAGAATATGAATCAAGAAAAGTACAAAGATATATGTAAGACTATTATGTTACCATATGCAAAGGATAAAATGCCTCGAGGATGGATTTACCAACAGGATAAGGATCCCAAACATACAGCTAAATCGGTTTAAGAGTTTTTTAAAGAGAGTAAAGTTAATGTTTTGAAGTGGTTATCCCAATCACCTGACTTAAATCTTATTAAACATCTATGGGAACATGTTGACCGTCAAATGAAAGGAATTAAGCCTACAAATTACGCTGATTTATTTAATAAAATAAAAGAATTATGGGACTTAATTCCCATTGACGTTTGCATTAATTTAGTTGACTCTATGCCTCATAGATGCCAAGCTATTCTTGATTGTAAAGGATATCCTACAAAATACTAATGTGATTTTGCTTTTGCAAAAATTTTGATCAAATATTGTTGAAATATTTTAACTATTTTAAAAAATAATGCTTTGTCCGCTAATTTTTGAACTTATCAAAGATCGTTGGTTTGTATACCAATTTAAAATATTATTTAGATAATAATAATTTGTTCAAAACCCTTATATGCAGAAATTTTTTCAGTTATTTATGAGCAATGAAACAAAGTATTTTTTTCCTGGATATATTCTTGTAATTAAATTCATCATTTAGCTCATCAAAATAGCTCCAACTTTCAGGCTATTCTTTTCCCGATTTAATTATTTTTTTGTTTTTTTTATTTTTTAGCTTTCAGCTTACGAGTTTTTTTTTTAATCCTGTTTTCTGCTTTTAGGCTATTTTTTTAACTTCCATCTTTTATGGTTTTTTTTCCATCTTCCAACTTAAAGGCATTTTTTCTTATTTTTTGTGCGGTGACATTAATTTTTAAATGTTGAACTTCAAACGGTGGACTGATGAAAGGGAAAAAGGTAAAATAATGGAAACCGGAATTAAAAGTCCTGAAAGGTGCATGCTGGGAAAAAAAATCCTTAAAGCTGAAGGCTAGAATAAATAAACAATCCTGAGAGTTGGAAGCTTGAAAAGAAAGAAAAAAATACCTGAAAGCTTTCAGTTTTCAGGGTTTTTTCATCTACCTTTCAAGACTTTTTTTTCCGGCTTCATTTTTCAGGGTTTTTTTTTTCTAGTCTTCAGCTCTCAGGCTTTTTTCCCAGCAGGTTTAGGATTTTTTTCCCCTGTTTTATTCTAGCTTTTAGCTTTCAAGAATGTGTTTTTTTTCAAGCTTCCAGCTCTCCGGATTGTTTATTTATTCTAGCCTCCAGCTTTAAGGATTTTTTTTCGCAGCATGCACCTTTTAGGACTTTTAATTCCAGCTTCTATTTTTTTACCTTTTTCCCTTTCATCAGTCCACTGTTTGAAGTTCAACGTTTAAAAATTAATGCCAGCGCACAAAAAAGCACTGGCAGAATAGTCAATTTTAACTTAGCCTACGCAATTTTTTTTCTGCTATTTAAATTATAATAAAATAGAGAAAAAGTGTTTTAAATAAATACCAGATAAAATAATTTTATAAAAATCTTGTAAAAGAAAGGCCTTATTTCATAAAAATTAAACAAATGAACAAAAATTTTTTTTAACAAGTGCTTTTTTATGGGTTTGCCAATGTTTTTGCGAGCGTGTGAGCGAGCGTAAAATGGCTTCAGCGCAAAAGCGCTGGCAAAACGGAGAAGGCTGTTTCATGTCTCAGGTATTTTTATTTTTCGAGCCTCTATTTTTTAGGCTTTATTTTGTTCTTTCCAACTTTCATTTTGAAGTCTTTTTTATTTTATTTTATCAAATTTAAACCTTTTTTTTTTCAGCCTTCAGTTTTGTAGCTTTTATTTTTCTTATTTTTCAAATTTCGATTTTTTAGGCTTTTTGTTTTCTTTTTTTTTTTTTAGCTTTTAGCTTTTAGGCTTTAATTTTTTTTTAGCGTCCAGTTAAAAAAAAACAAAAAAAAGCTATTTTTAAGGATTTTTTATTTTATTTTTTTACCTTTAAAATTTAAAACTTTTTTTTTCAGCCTTCAGTTTTATGGCTTTTATTTCTCTTTTTTTTCAAACTTCTATTTTTTAGGCTATATATTTTTTTTTCCAGCTTCTCGCTTTCAAATTTTTTTATTTTCAAGCCTTCAGCTTTTAGACTCTTGTAGGCTTTCATGGTTCAGTTGTTTTTTAACCCTCTTTAAGGTTTCAGGCTTTTCTTTTAAGCTTCCATTTTTAAAGCTTTTTTTTTCCAGCTTCCAGCTTCCAACTTTTATTCTTTTTTTAGCTTCCAGTTTTATGGCTTATATTATTATTCGTGATTTTAGGTCTCAGGGTTTTTTTTTTAAGCCTCTAGTGTTCAGGTTTTTTTTTTTTTTTTCCAGTTTCCTATTTTAAGTTTTATTGTTTGTTTTTTTTTGTTTGTTTTTCAGTTTGAAACTTTTAGGCCTTTTTTTCTAGCCATTAACTCCATGGCTTGTTTTTTTTATTTTAGCTACCAGCTTGCGGGCTATTTTTTCCAACTCTTACCTTTTAGGTTTGTTTTTGTTTTCAGCTTCCAGCACTCAGGCTTTTTTCAGCTCTTAGCTTTTAGGCTTTTGTTGTTTTTTTCAGCGTCCATTTTATTATGTTGTTTTTTTACTGCTTTCAGCTCTCAGGTTTTTTTTTTTTTTAAGTTTCCAAATCTCAGGCTTTTTTTTCTTCCTATTTTTCATGCTAAAATACTAAAATCCAGAAACATAATATTCTGCAGATTTAGCAATTCGTACCATTTTTATAAAAACAAGCTTTTAATATATATATATATATATATATATATATATATATATATATATATATATATATATATATATATATATATATATATATATATATATATATATATATATATATAAATATATATATATACATATATATATATATATAAATATATGTATATATATATGTATATATATATATATATATATATATATATATATATATATGTATATATATGTATATATATATATATATATATATATATATATTTATATATATATATATATATATATATATATATATATATATATATATATATATATATATATATATATATATATATATATATATATATATATATATATATATATATATATATATATATATATATATATATATATATATATATTACACTAAAGTTGTGCTATAAAAATGTAATTAATTTACTGCACTACTGCAGCTTTTTTTTATGCACTACAGTAGTATAATAGTAAAATAATACCAGTATATTTATATAGTAGTCCACTTTATAAATATACTTGTACTATTTTTTCTTTTTACTTTTAGTTTGAAATCTTCTTAATTAATGATGTAATGGTGTAGTGATTTGTAAGTGAGAGGTTCTGAGTTCGATTTCCACCATGTTCCTGGTTACACTACAATCAGCTATAGTTGAAAAAGAAGTCTATATTTTATAAACAAATTTTTTTTTTACAAGCTGTAAGTTTTTATTTAATAATTAATGCGTAATTTTAATTTTTATCACAGGTTGTTTTGTACTCATGGTAACATAAGTACAAAAAGTTATGGTAACATAAGTAAAAGAACCAAAATTTAAGCATACCAGTAGTTACATATAAGAACTAAAATTTAAAATATTTATGCTTATAAATTTGCTGTATGGTCACAAACAATCAATCAACACTTAAGGGAAAAATAAGGTACATTAGAATAAAAGGGATTTATTTTTCAAACAAAGCATATTTTGTTGGTTGTCAAGACAAAAATAAAGATTATTAGATGAATATTCAAAAATATACAAATACCATGGCAACAATAAGACAGACAATGCTCTCAAACAGTACTTACAATTAAATTTTTTATTATTTTTTTTCAAACAAAAATAAACAAATATACAACAAATATCACCAAACAACAACTTATAAAACAAAAAATTTAATACAAAATAAAAAGTATGTGCACAAATATTTAAAGACAATTAAAACCAAAAATGTGCTTCCAGCATAAGTAAACCAAAGACAATAAAATTGCAATATACCCTATTAAAAACCCTTTCGTAATAAATAAAACACAATAAGTCTTTAAAGTCAATAAATTCTGCAATTCCTTCTTCAGATGTCAGTGTTGATGGGTACTATCCTTTGAATCGTAAAGACTCCAATAGTCACATGCTAAGTTTAGGGGTATACATATGCATTAATTCCCCTATTTGTCGTGAAATCAGGTTCAAATCCTTTGACCATTCTTTTATGTGCTTTCGCTTAGCACCTCTTCACTCTATCACCTTTCTCTTTGTTCTTTATCATTCTCCTTCTTCCCATGATTGCACTCTTTTAGATGTTGTCTCTGATCAAATTGACCATGGCCTCTCTCTTTACCCCTCTGCCAATATTGTTGTTGTTGGTGATTTTAATGCCCATCACACTGAATGGCTTGGCTCTAACACCACTGATCCTGCTGGCACTAAAGCCTTTAACTTCTGCGTTTCTCAATCTCTTACTCAGATAGTTAACTTTGTAACTCGTTTTCCTGACAACCCTAATCATTTACCTTCATTCCTTGACTTATGTCTTGTCTCTGACCCTAGCTTATGTTCAGTTTCTCCCTTTTCTCCCTTAGGTGGTTCTGACCATGCAATGATCTCTATAAATTTTTCTTCTCGCACTTCTTTTTTGGGCTCACCTTAGCATCGCACCACCTACTACTACCCTAAAGCTGACTGGGATTCCTTTCGTGATTTTCTTCGTGATGGTCCTTGGGCTGATGTTTTTTCTCTCTCAGCTGACAAATGCGCTTCCTACGTAACCTCCTGGATTCAGGCTGGAATGGAAGCTTTTATTCCTTCGCGTCTGTTTCAAGTCAAGCCTCATTCTACTCCATGGTTTTCTCCTTCTTGTGCGGCTGCTATATCCAATCGTAATCATTTTTTTCATCTTTTTCAAAAGAACAACTCTCTTGAGAACAAACAGCTATTTATTATTGCAAGAAATCGATGTAAAAAGGTGCTTTCTGATGCTAAACTCCATTATTTTCAGTTCACTAAATCTTGCATCTTATCGCAGAAGTTAGGCTCTAAAGGCTCTAAAGACTTTTGGAAAATCTTCAACAGCATTATTAACAAGGGTAGATCTAACATTCCATCTCTCATTCATGGGACTGATCTTATTACCTCTCCCAAGGATAAGGCAGAACTATTTGCAAAGAACTTTTCTTCTAATTCCACTCTTGAATCTTATGGACATTCTCTTCCTTCCATTCCAGTCAAACAGGTTGACCCATTGTTAGACATTCAAATCACTCCGGCTTCTGTTGCTAAAGTCATATCTCAATTAAACTCGTCTACAGCTTGTGGTCCAGACAACATTTCTGTCACAGTCTTGCAGAATTGTTCTCCAGAACTTTCTTTAATTCTATCTAAACTATTTAACAAGTGTTTGACTGAGTCTTGTTTTCCTGCTTGTTGGAAAATGGCATCTGTGGTTCCAATATTCAAAAACTCTGGAGAAAATTCTGACCCCTCCAATTATCGTCCAATCAGTCTTTCTGTTAATAGCAAGGTCTTTGAGTCTTTGTTCAACAAATTCCTCACATCTCATCTTGAGTCAAATAAACTACTGTCAGACAATCAATACAGTTTTCGATCCTCTCGCTCTACGGCCGACTTGCTAACTGCTGTAACTGAAAGATTTTATCGTGCATTAGATGGAGGCGATGAGGCTAGGGCTATTGCTATCGACATATCTAAAGCTTTCGACAAAGTTTGGCATGCTGGTCTTCTCCATAAGCTTGCTTCATATGGTGTTTCTGGGAAAGTTTTTGAGATTATCAAATCATTTCTTTCTAACCGGTTTATTAAAGTCATCCTTGAAGGCCAACACTCTTCTTTATTTCCATTTAGTTCTGGGGTTCCCCAAGGTTCCATCCTGGGCCCTGTTTTGTTTCTTATCTACATAAACGATCTTCCTGTCGACCTTTCATCTAAAGTAGCTCTTTTTGCTGATGACTCAACTTTATACTCCTGTCTTGACAAAAAGTCTTCTCTTTTCGATCGCCTAGAACAAGCAGCTAATCTTGAATCCGATCTCACTTCAGTAATAGATAGGGGTTCACAGTGGCTTGTGAATTTCAACTCTAAAAAAATCCAGTTGCTTACAGCAAACAACTACCGTAATATGGTCAACATTCCTATATTAATGAATGGCAATCCTCTTACTGAATCCTCCTCATTACGTCTTCTTGGATTATTGCTTACTACTGACCTTTAATGGTAACCATATATACAATCGATTGCTAAATTAGCTTCTGCTAAGGTTGCTTCTCTTTATCGTGCTCGCCATTTTCTTACTTCTGATTCCATTCACTACCTCTACAAATCTCTTATTCGTCCCTGTATTGAATGCTGTTGTCATATTTGGGCTGGTTCTTCTAACGATTCAATTTCTCTTCTTTCCAAAAACGCATTGTAAATGTTGTTGGACCTGGACTATCTGCTAAGCTTGAACCTCTTTCCCATCGTCGTAAAGTTGCATCTCTTTCTTTTTTCTACAGATACTATCATGGTCACTGCTCAAAGGAGTTATCATCTCTAGTTCCATCAACTAAAATTCATTCTCGTTTTACTTGTCATTCAGCTAAGTCTCATTCGTTTACTGTATCTGTCCCTGCATGCTCTAAAAACTTTTATTCATCTAGTTTTTTTCCCCGCACTTCAATCCTTTGGAACTCTCTCCCATCTTCATGTTTTCCTGACTCATACAACCTTTAAATTTTCAAGTCTTCTGTTAACCGTTTCCTTGCTTTATAACTCTGTTCTTTTTTTTCCTAGTAACTCCCAACTTGATAGTGGTTGCTTGCAGCCTTGTTGGGAGTGAATGCAAATAAAAAAAAAAAAAAAATCCCACATAAAATCCTACTTAAACAAAATGTCCTCTTTCATTCATGGTCAAATCACAGTATCAGTATAAGGTAATATACTAAGTTTTTCAAACAAATGCCTTTTTTGAGAGAGCAGACAGACAGAGAGGGGTAGCTCAAAGCTTCTAGTCTAAATTTAATTGCAAATAATACATGGAGTAATTTAATTTGAGTAATTCAGAGAAGGCCATGATGATCATGATTACTGATGAGCAAAAGAACAGCTGTGAAGCATGTGGTTAAAGTTTTCACTCAGAAGCCAGAGGTCCGAGGTTTGATTCCAGCTCTAGCCCAAAAAGCGATATTGCGTGAACTTCTAGTTAAATGCTCTTCTGTGGTGCTCTTTAATAAGACCGTAAGGACTTTTTGGGAGCACCTAAATAACCTAAAAAAAAAAATATTGATAGAGGTAAAAGAGCATCGTGGATTATTTGGAAAAGTTAATGTCACATGCAAGTTGTATAGCATTGCGTAAAAATGGTTACAGCAGTTTCTGCTTTGGTTGTAGGCAAGATGGAAAGAAATAGTTTAATATGTTTCTATCTGCAATCTAGGAAGATTATGCCAATAGTTATTTATATTATTACAAATTAACAATATTAACACAAAGACACATTATAACACTCAATATGGAAAACATGCAAGGTATTCTATTAAAATGAATAAGGGTTTGTTGCAACAATCATTTATTTCATTATTTATTTGCTTTTTTATTTTTTTGTAAAAACTTCATAAATTAAAACTGCACATACCCCATTTTCAAAATTTATATATTGAGAATAAATATGAATATTGATAGCATTTTAACATTAAATTGTTTTATACTTTTCTTTCTTTTTTTTTTTTTAATTTATCTAAAGACCTTGTGCCTGTTTCTATGTACAAGTTTTTTGAAATAATTGATAATAAGTAATTTTATATATACAGGTTTTCAGGATCTGCTGCGCATTTTATTGGAACACTATTCAACATTAAAGTATGTAAGAATCAGCTAATTAAGTGGATGATTTCAGATAATGCGGATGTTGTCAGCATATTTCTTGTAAATCTGAATGGATTATTTAGATGGAACAATGAGGAAACCTTACTAAATGTTTCAACAATTATTAACTCATTGGTAAGTACGTTTTATAATTAATATTTTAATTGATATTGTTTCATATTAATTATAATAATCTTTTATCTCCTATATTAATTGTGATAATCTTTTATCTTGCATTATTTCAGAGATGAGGTTTTTCAAAACTCTAGGGTTTTTTGGTTCTGGGTACCCGTACTCGGGTTTGGCGAGTCTGTAGCTAATTACCTGGAACTGATACCCGGTCCAAGACTCGGCAAGTTTCGTGATTTGAACTCCTGGCCTTGTTTTATATGCAGCAGGTTGTTTTGTGAATCTAGTGAACTTCTAGTTAAATGTGAACTTCTAGTTAAATGCTCTTCTGTGGTGCTTGTTTTGTAAATACCTAACTTTTCTAGGCAGCTGTATCTGATGCTTAATAGCATGCTTAGATAGGGCTGTATTTATATTATTATTAGGGAGGCCCACAGTCAAAAAAATTTAATAAAATTGACCGTTAGGTCAAAATAATCAATTAAAAAATTGTCGGGTAAACCTAATCCAGAAAGAGGTATTATATAATCAAAATATGAATTATATTATTCACCAATGTATTTTAAAACAATTTTCATTGTTTTTTCAATCATCATTGAAGAAGCTCCTTAAGGTATTGGAAGTGAGCACTTAATAGAAATTATTAATATTAAACATGAGTTGACAATTCTTAGCAGAAACGATGCTAATCTTACAACATTCCAATTAGCAATTGATTTTATGATAAGAAATTTAAAAGAATATAATGGTAATTTAAGTAGAGAGCTATTAATGACAATAAATAACTCAAATAAATTGCCTTTAAAACCAAGATTTAGAAGAGCTATTAGATTCTCCTGTAAATGGTACTATGCCAAAGAAAATTTACAAATTTTCAAACAAAAATTTACATATTTATTGAAGAGATTATTTGATGGAAATGAAGAACAACAAAATACACATTATGAACAGGGACATTCAACTGAAAATAATGAAAATACTACAGGAAGCGCATTAACATCAACACTAGAGGAAAAACTAAATAAATTATTCTATATTAAACACTTATAAGTATTTTAATTTATATTATATATTTTTTTAAAGTACTGTCATGTCGATTTGGTAGTTTAACATAAGTAAAATTATTCATTAGTATATTTAAGTTTGGCTTTGAAACAAAAAGTTTTATTTACCGAAAAATTTACCAAATCTATTTTTTCAATTGGAGGAAACACGAAAAATCCAATCATTCTATTGTTAAAGTTTCAAGACAAAAAGACGTGTTAGACCCGGACCTGATCTTGAACCCTATAAATCTCGAGCCTATGAATATAGGCTCGACTCAGGCTTGTTGGGTCTATAAATGCCGGGTTTTCCCAAACCCTACAAAACTCTCCCATAAAAATAAAGGATGATAAATTATTTTAATCAACGCTTTGAAACTTTTTCAAGTTGCTACATAAAGTTTGACAAAACAGATAGCTTTTATAATAGATAACTGAATTAAATGATATATCCATTATGGTGCATTGTCTGGTACCATAATTTGTAAGAAACCCAAACATTTCAAACTGCAGACTCATATTTTTATGTAAATTTAAATTTTAATTTGAGTTTTTTTTGTAGTGTTTTGCAATTTAAAAATGATTTGGTTATACAATTGACACTTATTTTTTATTAGTTGTTTAATAAAAATTATTTTTTCATTAAACGAAGTCTTTGTATGTCAAATTATAAATATGTTATGAAATATAAAAATTATATATATGTGAAATATTGCATATAATATATGCATTACTATATATATATATATATATATATATATATATATATATATATATATATATATATATATATATATATATATATATATATATATATATATATATATATATATATATATATATATATATATATATATATGTATATATATATATGTATATATATATATATATATATATATATATGTGTATATATATATATATATATATATATATATATATATATATATATATATATATATATATATATATATATATATATATATATATATATACCCATACACTAGGGATGTATGGGAAATGAGTTTTTCATTAAAAAATTATTCCAACTTTTTTAGATTTATAATTTTTTGTAAAAATATAAATCTATAAAAAAATTTTGTATAATAAAATTTTTACATAGATTTATAATTTTACCAAAACCTTTATTTGTTTCGAAAAAATTAATTTTGTATTTACAAACTTTTTGCTAAAGTGGTTCTAAGTTTTATGGACTTAAGTTTTAAATGCCTGAATAAATAAAAAGAGTTTTTCGCTTCATTCTTTAATTTCATAGTATGTAGATTGTATGTATTATCATCTCTGCTTTTTTTTTTTATCAGATTGAAATCTAGTTTAGGATTCATAATTGTTCAGGATTCTCAATTGTTCAGGATTTTCAGTTGTTCAGGATTCTCAATTGTTCAGGATTCTCAGTTGTTCAGGATTCTCAATTGTTCAGGATTTTCAATTGTTCTAGGTTTTTTAATTGTTCAGGATTCTAAATTGCTTTAAGATATAATTTTAAAAGTGTATTTATCTGCTTTTATTAAAGAATAAAAAACTAGTTTTAAAATCTTTTTTACATTGCAGTAAGAAAAGTTCTTTAACAACCAAAGTGTTTTAACATAAAAACGGTTGCTTCAATGATTAGTTGCTTCACTAGGTGGTTTTGAGTTTTTCAAAAACTTGGATATTAATTCACAATAAAAAATGACCTTAAATTTATTCTTTTTTTTTTTTTTTCATCCTTATTTTTTCTTATTCTTTCCTCCACTTTCTGAGTGATTTTCCTTTTTTTTCTGCTCTGTAATCTTTTTGAACATTTCTTTTTTTTTTTTTATTTACCCTGAACTCTCTCTAAGTGTTTTTTCTTTTTTCTTTACTCTGTAGGTGAAGCAAGTCAGTATAACCAGAGAAATTATTCAAAAAAAAAATTTCATATCGAAAAAATTTTTCTGCTTTATAAATAAAAAATAAATTTGATATAATATTTTCTACCACAGATATTATGTATTTTGTTAAGATGTGAAAGAATGCTAACTTTTTAATATAAAAATATATTTATATATTTATACTTACAATTGTTAAAAACAATTTGCAAAATCTAAAAACCGATTGCAATATTTTATTTTTATTTTACAAAAATTTTTTTGGCATTTAATAAAGAATTATAGAAATAATTATGATTCACTAAATGTGGCAAAAAAAAAAACACTTCAATATCTTAAAAAAAAAATCAGGCATAAATAACCTCTGGTTATTTGAATCTTGTATTTAGTTTTTCAGATCATTAAATATTTTACATAGATAATGTTTTATTTTAACTTCTGATTTATTTTATAATGGAAGTTTTTAAAATAAGTAATTTCTAAAATCCAAATATATTTTTTTATTACAATTAATTTGATTATTTTTAAAAATCCTCAAAAAACCTCTCAATTTTGCATCAAAACACTTTTTTAAAATATCTATTTAAAAAAATATAAATAAGAAAACTACAAAAGCTAAATGTTTTCAATGTTATCAGGCCTCCATTCTGTCTTTATTGCATTTTCCAAGAAAGGCTATATGTTATGTAGAATGGTTTTTTTAATTTTATTTTAAATTATTTTTATAGTAAGTAAATACCATATTTTGATTCGTAATCCTTTTATGAGCTAACAAATAAAAACTTTTAGAAATAAAAAAAAATTAAAAAAGAATTTGTTAAATTAGAAATAATCTTAAAAAAGGTTATTTTAAACTTAAAATTGGTAATTTCAATAATATATTAAATAAAAATTTTAATTTTATTAACATTATCAACAAATGCAAGTTGAATGAATAAATTTTTTAGTTAAAAATAATCATGAAAATAATTATACTTTTAATGGTTTCTCGTAAGTCATTATAATAAACATAATTCTTTGTTATTAAATATGTTCTAAACTGTACAAACAAGTTCTACTGTTTGTATACTTTGGAAGTGGTTTACATAAGATGCAGTGTTATAAAAGAGATTTAGTGGTTTACAAGAGATGTAGTGATATTTAAAAGAATTTTTATTGTAGTATACAAAAGATGTAGGTGTTTACAAGAGAGGTAGTGGTTTACAAGAAATGTAGTGGTTTACAAGATGTCCGTTTTATATAAAGTACCCTTGGTTGCATTTTGGATTTGATTAGCAGAAATAATACAACAGTTTATTGAATAATACACATACCGTTTATTGAATAATTCACATACTGTTTTTTTTTAATAATACACATATTAAACACACAAATAACACACATCACACACACAAAAAAACAAAAAAACAAAAACATTACCATTAAATTTTTATCTTTTCAAATATTTGTAATCTCAAAAGTATACTTTCACAAGTTTAATATTACCTTTTGCCAAATTTACCAGACCTATTTGCTCTTTGTGAATTTAATTTAAATTAAAAAAACAAACAACCCAAATTGACTTCAAATTAATGTCTTTTAGAAAGACTCCAATTGTCATGTACTATACTTACACACAAGTTCAAATATTTGTCATGAATTCCAATTACTAATTGAATTATTTGTCACGAATTCTAATTACCAATAGAATTATTTGTCACAAGTTCCAATTACCAATTGAATTATTATATAGTTAGTTGATATAAAGAATTCCGATTTCCAATTACCAATTGAATTATTTGTCACTAGTTCTAATTATCAGTTAAAGTAATTGTCACAAATTCCAATTAACAATTGAATTATTTGTCACAAATTCCAATTACCAATGGAATTATTTATTACGAATTCCTATTACCAATGGAATTTTTTGTTACAAGTTTTAATTACTAATTAAACTATTATATAATAATTTAATTCACGAATTCCAATTAACAATTACCAATTGAATTATTTGTCACGAGTTCTAAATACCAATTGAATTATTTATCACTAATTCAAGTTTGAATCCTCTAACTATTTTTTTATATTCTATCGCTTGCACTTCACTTTTGCCTCC